AAAAAAAAATGCCTGTAGTTTTCAAGATGTTTTGGATAAGAAAAGAAGGGTTGCTTAAAGGTGTAAATATGGGAATAAAGATCAAGTTGCTTTCGTCAATTTAGAAAGATATCCCACAAAAAAGGTGATGAACTTTAAACTCTTTAGTGTCACTGATACATTTTAATCCAATCTTTGATTAATGGAATTGATTAATATAGCTTAAAATATGTGATAACAGCATTCGTCCTATGTGTGTAAAAACGAAAGATATAAACTATCTTAGTAAAATATCATAATTTTCATACAAATTATAATAAAAAAGTAAACGAATTCTTATCAGGCTGGTTGTTGCCCCAGAGTCTGTAAAAATGATTAAATAAGCTATATGAGAAAGGGATATCCCAAACATTGTCCTCCTTAATAACCCCTGATTCATCTTAAGCTATCATATTTATTTACCTGGTAGTTTTAAGCTGAACATGATGATCTAGACCTGCTTAGTCCAGTTCTGGCTAGCCTTCAGAACAGGCGGATAAGCGGGGAAGAGCGCAAAGCGCGAGTCGAAGAATATGGTCTCGTGGTTCGTGCTCGGGTTCGTGCTCCGCGTTCGCGTATCGCGTTTCGCGCTCTACACCGCTAATCCGCCTGCTCTGCAGTCTAGTTCTGGCCCTTCCTCGAGCTCTGCCACGCAACGCTACTATAATGTCTACGATTTGCGCGACTTCAGCCCGAGAATACTACTGAACGAAATCCTAGTATTATGTAAGATGATTTGCAGTCCGTACTGCGCAGTCTCAGCATCCTTAATGTTTTTTAAACATTATAACGGCTCACTCAATGGAATGCGAATCGATGTTATTCGTTACGAACCACGTACCTTAGCTTTGAAGCCTTTCAAATTCTTTTCCAACAGCTTCATTGATTTTTACAGCTGCGAAGTTGTTTCATCAAGTGATATAAGGAAGAACGAAGCATAAAACTTCCACCGCTTCGTATCCATAATGGCGGTTGTTTTGAAACTTTGAATTTACTCCATGTAAGTAGTTGCGAAATGTTTACAGTTTGTGATGTCTTACATGACGCAAAACAAAAAACGCAAACAAATCATTTTTAACGCGTTTCCTTCAACTCACGGTTATGCGGTGTCTACCGCGCCACTTAGTTGGGACACATAGTTTTTACAATCGCTTCGTATAGATCGAACTGAACCGTCCACAGCATCCGGTAGTTTTGAAACATTAACCGCAAAATCAATTGACGTAGGACGTTTAATAGCGAAGAATGTAATAACTATAAAACAATTTTTTGGTTACGAGATGCCTATTAGAAATTCGGCGCAGTGAACCTTTTCGGCGATACGGCGGCCATTTTGAAATCTGTTGTTTCAAATAGCTATTACGGGATGCTTAGGGGGCGAATGTATACTAATCTGCCCCCTCTCCCCCTCCCCCCCAAATCTGGGCATTCCATAATAGCCTGTGAAACAATAGAATTCAAAATGGCCGCCATATCGCAAAAAATGTCATTGGTTATTCATCATCTCGTCTTTACCTTGCGCTCATGGACAGTCTTGCCTAGTTCCCAGGCGTCGATATTTTGCCGTAGTCAATCCCTTTTCGTGGGCAGTGCTTCTCGGCTACGTCACCGAAATGAATTGGCCGTGACCCTGAAGGCCTGGGACAGGGCTGTACAGGAACTTAGGAAGGTTCTCTTATAATTCATTATTTTCACCGGTATATATAGAATAATGATGCTTGCTCTTTCCCTCCTGGATTTTGGATTCTGGCCATCTCCCTTTACACTGAAACATTTCAGACCATATCGGACGGTTCTCGTTAAGTTTTCTATGAACGATATAATTCTTGTTAAGTACTGAGATCCCAGATCGAAGGAAACTTGAGCTCGTACTTGATTGTTAGACCAACCCAGACAGCTTCGATCTGAAAAAGAACTAATATGTTTACCTCAACCCTATCTACAATAATTGTTCAACCTTATTCAACTGAGGGGCAAAGGCCAGGGCTTCATAAGAGTCAACGGCAAAACACTAGCATCACTGTTTGATTCACGACAAGACCGCGTCAAAGGGCGTACAATCTTGCTCCAAGAGCACTCTATTCTTTTGATCAACCTTTCACGTTGCTGGTCAACTGTGCCGAAATATTTAACATGTTCAAAATATTCTCGCAATTTGTTTGGTCCTTACTTATAATATATATTAGGAAAGAGACATATAGATGACGTCATTAACATACTTTTTTGTTTCTTCATGACATAAAACAGATAGATTAATGTTGCCGCCAGGTGCGCTTGCAGCTCAGAGAAAAAAATAAAATATATATGCCTATGTTCACTGGTTTCTGGGCAGTTCACTTTGAATCAAACATAAGAGAGGTTTTGTAAAGTTACTTTTCCTTATGATTCAAAAGCTCTTTTAAATGCAAAGTTTGAATTAATGAACTGAAAGGTTTCTATAGATGAATTACAAGCAGGTCAACAATAAGAGATAAAGCTATGAACGATATCGTTCAGGCTTAGCCTAAGTGGCCAACTTGTGATGTCGTCCGGTATTGAAAAGCCACAAAAACATACACTGTAATTCCGGGATTGGTGGGTGTGAATGTTATGTATTTGTAAGCCATAAATTACTTTGAGAAGAGGTCCATAAGGGACAGTGCGATATGTAAGCACTTAACGTTAATGAGAGTTGTTGTTTTGGCGCTCCACTAAAAAGCTCCTTGTGTATCCCTCTGGCGATTGAATAGCGCATACAAAGGGCATGCACTGTTAAGTTTGAGATAGTTAAAACAACACCTTTTCTTCTTATTACTATGCAACAAGCAGCCCTCGAAAGCAATAAAGAAGGTGAATCTGAGGCGACTAAAAATCCGGCCGGTATTTTCAAGGAAAATGTTTACAGAACTCAGTGACGGTGTTTAGACTTCTTTAACAAAAACAAGGACAAGCTCTAGCAACGGGTTCGACGCAATGGCGCTATCTTCAATCTTGTCTGACTAGAAACTCGTAATGGCTGATCTTACTCAATTAGAGTTATCATTAAGTCCTGACAGAGAGAATCGAAAAGGAAAACAAATTTGCATATATTTCGCGAGCCGAAGTTTTAAGAGATTTCAGGCTTCTTGTTAAGACTAAGAAAGACTTCTTTTTTATCCTGTTACAGATGCGTGTTTTTTTTTTTCATTTAGACTTGCGAAAAGAAAACCTCGTCTCAACTTATTATTTAGCACTACAGTATTTTATCGTTAAGTTCTTAAAATACATCTATCAATGATATGCCGCCTCAATGGCTACATGACTTCAGTGATCTGTTGGGCCTTAAGGACACTTGGTCGGCATCTGAGCACCTTGATAAAGAACACTTTCCGGCTTAATTGATGAAAAGTCTGCTATCTTGAAAATGGCCAAGCAAGGCGTTTATCACAATCCTCTTTCCATGCGCCGAACCAATTATGCATATATTATGTCGACCTTTTCGATTTTTTCCAATTAATTTTAAAAAGAAATGACCGTCTGTTGTCAAACTTAAGTAATGGTTAATGGCACTCTTTTCACACTTCTTAAATCCAGTGGATCGACTCGTCTCTTCGTTTCCTTTTGCTAGGTGGAACTGAGTGAATTTCTGGAAGATTTCATTCTTGTTGGAGATATATTTTTTTCNGGGGGGTATCGAGGGAAGAGTAAGAGGAGGGGAGGGTCGTTTCGCTTTTTGACCCTTGCAGCATAACATGGCGAAGAGTCTAAAATTCGTTCATGTAAGTTCTTTGATACTTTCATAATGGGCCCCGATTTTGTTATTTTTGCTTTTGTCTATGAATACAATATGAACAATACCGAACCATGGTTACTGCGATTCGTGGCAAAAATGTTTGATCGTGCGAAACGTGCACCAGCTTTCCATTGGTCTTAAATGTGCCATGAATAATTTGACGAAGGTTGCAGAAACTCAGTCCCCAAGATTAGTATGTCGATGAGGGAATCAAACCTAATGCCAATGTGAGTACAGGTAATTGTCATTTGAGGCCTTATTAGGGATACGGGGTATTTAGGCGAAAATTTAACGATATACAGCGGGAAATTGGGGGAAAAAAAGTAATGGTATGGGATCAATTACAAACATTCCAGGATATTGATTGGGAAAATTGTTAAATTTTAAATTAGAGAGAAACGGCAGATCCTCCACCCCGTATTTAGGCCTCGTTATTATATTATTAAAGCCGAGGTGCGTTTTCGTGTCGCGAGTGGAAGGCAAGAGTCTATCGCACTGCGGATATAAATGTATAATAATGAAATAAATACTTCATGATTACGGCATTACCCCGTCAAATCGATTTCCGTTCTGGAAGCTTGTCAGTTTCCAAGAAATATTTTTCACTGCACTGGCGGTTTTCAACCTTGAAAGTAGTATTAATTTACTGTTAGAGAATTGCGTAGGCATGTGAAAACACTTAAATTATGGAACAACTGGAAAGTGGACGGAGCCATATGATTGTAGATGATTTGAAGACTTCAGCGAACTGAAAGAATTTGTCTTCACCTACATTAAAAAGGCAAGAAAATGTTGAACAACAAAATGTGAATACTGTAATTATTCGGAATGTAAAATGTGATTTTGTAATGTGCCTCTGAAGTAAAATTTTTCTCACTGAATTGAATGTATCCAGGTAACCATTTTTAATGCTTATCTTACCAGTCAATTATTATTGATCACAGTAAGCCATCACAATAGCTTCAAAATATCTCGTGCGATCAATGAATATTTTTATTTGTTTTCCATTAGCAAGTGGGGACATGGAAATCACTCTAAATCTCTGCCTACGCGTTTTTTTCGTTTTTTTTTTCATTTCTATTACTTTTTAAATTTATTTCCAGTCAGTCTAGTTGTAGTGGCAACTGAACATGTCAAAAGGCAAGCTGACATCATGTCAGACGTTTGCCAAGTGCGAGGAAGTGCATTGACAAGTTTATGACAAAGTTTCTTGTCAGCAAAGGAACAGACGAATAAAAATAAAGTAAATAACAAAAAAATAAAATCTCTCGTGTTAATTTGTTAAACAAACCAATCTGTGACGTCTACAGAGCATCGTAAAAACAGCTGCGGGATAACTCGGCAGGTTGCTCCTTATCTGTTATTACAAGACCATAACAACACGCCATGGTTAACTAGAATTTGACAGTGACTGTTTTCCCCTCGTTCATTTCCATTCGGCATGTCATGATCGCTGAATTAAAATCAATAAATGGATTACCGGTGTGGGAGGTGTGTTGCTAAGATCAGATAAAGCAAGTTAAGAATTATGGGGGAGGATTAGAGGAGGCGGGAAGTCGTTGGAGGGCGACGGGGTGGGATAGGGACGAGGATCTTGCAAGCCAAATGTAGAACGAGAATTGGGTCGGTAGACTCAATGGCGGTTTAAGTCATTGCTAAAGTAAAGCTTCCCTTTTACTGTACATGTGGATACGATATATTTAAAAATTGAAGTCTTCAGAGATTTGGTCGCAATTGTGGTTTTAAGATGCAATAATAACATCCCTGAAAACTTTATTAGATAAGACTTTATACTTAATCTATTAGTATTAATACCGGCCGAAAAGGACAACGATATTCTTCAGTGCAATAAGCAGGGAAAAGCAACATCTTTGTAATAAATTGACTTTGAAAAGAAAAAAAAAAGTGGACTTTGATTGATGGATTGAAGAGACAAATAACAAATGTAGACAAACAGGTAGACGTCCTAGGTTTGGCGGTTCAATCTCCAATCTTCTTTTAGTTGCAAGCACTGATTGCTACAAAGGCTCACTGTATTTTCCGGTACAAAGTGACGCGAATGTTCTCCAACTACATATTTTGATGAACGGCGTTCAAGGTGCAACGGTCGAAAGCAAGACAGTGCCAGCGTGTATGATGTTTCATTCAATGGCATAATTTCGATGTCTTTGTGCAAACTAAATTTCGGAATATGATTAAAAACTGACGAGCTTCCGCTTGCTTATTTTTCAGTGAGGCTCTCAAATTATCATATGCCAAAGCCACAACAGATGATTTGGCAGAAGCGAGCGTCTTTATCAAACATCGATATTTTAACAAAAAGATAAACAGGCACCTCTCATGTTGCCTTGCCTTCAGTTTTCTCGTAGCGCGTAAAGCTTTTCTGGCGACACAGTTTTTCGAGGTCACATGTGAAACTTTTTCAGTGATTATTTTGATTTCAGGCCTCCGAAAAATGCTCGCGATTCGTCTGCAATTTGGGCAGTATTACAACTGGCTCGTGATTGACATCGATGAAACGGTACAGATCATATTTCGGTCTTTTCTTCTTATACGCTGAACAATACCAGGTGAGTAAATAGCCAACATGGCACTTAAACGCACATGTAGTTCTAGTGTTCTAGTTTCTTGAACTTCGAAATACGAGAGAAGCTTTCCTCGGCCATGAAAACGTGTCTCCAGACTCACCTGGACTATTTCACGAGTACGAAGAGATTTGCATTAAAATTTTAAAAAAGATGTAATGGGGAAATCAATCATTATTCGTTAATAGCCCAGTCTTAACCCTTGTTTCATTGAATATGCAGCCCGTCAAAGCTCTCCATTTTTGTCACTTAAGCTGTGTGGCCAACGTGTAAAAAAGCTGGCATATAAATGTGTTCTTAAAATCATTATCAAAAGAAGGAAAAGAAAAATTTCCCGTCTGTCTGTGCTTCAGGCGGTAGCAATAAAATATTAGACATTAAAAATTTAGGACCGAAGAGTACTAATCTTTGTTTGAATATGGTAAACTTCAGTAAAAATGTATTATTTTAGTTTCACGTCACCTTATTAATGGCTGGTCCAATTTAGTCGGTTCGAAGTTGCTATTGGTCGTAAAAAGAACGTAGTTGTCGTGAGAACTGAGTTGCAAAATTCTGCTAGTAGTCGGAAAAAGCATCTGTGATACCCTCAACGCGAAAGAAACTCGAAAA